TGTATCTTAGTATTTATTGTTATAGTCGTAGATAAAGTATAGTATTCAACTTGCAGTTATGGTCATAACTCACTTGATGAATTACAGAACTCGCCTGCGGCTCGTGCTGCAAACTTCATATGCGTGAGTTATGACCTGCATTACCGCTCGTTAACACCTTGACTGCCAACTACGAGATAACTCGTAGATTGCATTCTTCTTTAGAACGTCAACTACGAGTTATCTCGTCCTGTGTTTACTTGTCATTTTTGTGCAGCTACGATTAAACTCGAAATATATCAGTGCTAATATCGATAGATGGCTTCTGGGAAAAGAAGAAAAAATCAATGCTGGCATGCATGAACAGAAAATGTATTAATAAAGGGAACAAAATCTAATTATAAAAATTATTTTAAATTCAGGAAATAAAATAATACTTTATTTTTTGTGGAAATTCTTAACAATCTTCTCTTTACAGGCTGGACAGAAATAACGCGTTTCCTGGCGTTTTTTTGCTCGTAGTTGGCTTCCCTGAAGAGATTTCTGTTACAGAAGCCAACTACGAGATAATTCGTAAGACCTTTTTTTTGAAAATATATTTTTTATGCTTTTTGATAATAACTATGCACTAGAATTAGAATTTTTAATAATTTAATGTGATTAATTCTGATGCCTTGGTAGGATTCCCCACTCGACCATTCACTGTTGGGTTCTAATTAACAGTGCTGTTCCTAAAGTGGCGCAAAGAAACAGTAACAAGGCCTGTCTGTAGGGGTGTAGGAGTATTAGAGTACTAATACTCCTGCACTATGGAGTATTAGACTACTAATACAATCCATAACCTACATAGAACACTAGGCTAATGACCTTAGATGTTGAAGCCGTACACCAAATAAAAAAAAAAAATCAAATTGTCATTTTAGGCCAGATGCCTCAAAATTACCGTGGCAGTCAACGTGTTAAATAATATACTATTATCACTCGTAAAAAATCAGTGTAATATATTATAAATTGTTTTCATTCATAAATATTAATCCAGACGAAAAATCTTGCATTCGTATTACCCCACTTTTAAAGTTTATTTTTTACTATTTTTAAAACAAAAAAAATACGTATGTGTGGCTAAAGGTTAAATCTATGCTCCTCTGGAACAACTTTTTTAAAATTCTATTTAGTTTAAAAAAAAAAAAATGAGAAAATTGGTAAAAAAAGTCGAAAAATTTCAAATTTTGTAAAAGTGTCTCTAGAGGAGCATAGACTTAACCTTTATCTACACTCACATATTTTTTTCTTTCAGAATAAGTCAAAAATAAACTTTTAAAGTGGCGTACTACGAAAACCTTGCATGCTCTGCTCTAAAGCCAAGTAAATGCTCCTCTTTGGATGAAAATTTTAATTCAACTGATCGGCCTACTAAAATTTTTCGTTTACCATCTATGGTTTTTAATGGAAAAAAAACTTTTCTTTTAACTGATAAGTCAGTAATTGATTCAGATTTTCGAATTAGTATATATTTTAATTTTACAAGTTATATAAGAATGGCAAGTACACTAGAAAATATTGCAAGCATAAGTACGCATAAACGACCTAGTGGACGTTACCTTTAGAAGAAAAAAATATCGTGAGAGAAACAGCTTTTTAAGAGACAAAGACAAAAAAATACAATCGCAAAATTCACGTTTTTCACGAACTGACAATAAGTGACAGCTTTGTTGCTGGCCTATTTTAAATCAAATTTAATTTGTTTTTAATAAATGATTTGAAGTTATATTTGTCTCAGATAAATAAATAAATAAATAAATAATAGATACAGCCATATCATGCAATATTTGTAACCAGCATCTCCTCTCACTATACAGCAGTGGTTACACGACTTGATTGGATATTCGCTATTTTGGTTACATACCTGATTGGTTAGCAAAAAATTGACAGGACTACGTTAGTTAGGTTAGTTATTTTATGGTTATTTTGTGGTTCATTTTGAGTTTATTTCGTACTTTAATTAAAAAATTTTTGTGGTTTAAGTTATTTTAGTGCATTTAATTGCTTAAAAATGCCAGTGAATTGTATTGTGTGCTCGAGAAAGTATCTCAAGTTCAGTTCGATAACGTTTCATAGGTAAGTAAATAAAAACCATTACCGTTGCATCACACTTTTTTGAGGGGTATCATAATTCAAAATAAGGTTTAAACAACAACAATTTATTTTAAAGTTTAAAATAACATTCAACGTCGAATTTCGAATTATTTTATTGTGCCTGTGTTTAATAACTTTGAATTTATTAATAGGCTATCTTTAAATTAAAGTTATATTGTTATGCACACTGTACATTTAAGAAGGCTCTAGTGGCATTTACTTTAGTTATAAAATCTTAGTATTGCTTCATTTTAATGACAAAATATATTGTTAGAGCACCATAGTTATTTTAAAGTATACTATGTTGCATTCTGTATTACATGAAATCCTATATACCTACCTATATGAATAAGAAAACACTATTTATACCTATTTAGGTTTCCAAAAGATCCTCAAACTAGATATATGTGAATGAAGAGTTTGGGTGTACGTGAGGATGAAGAGTGTATTCAGTAGAATTTGTTCAAGACATTTCTGCCTTTGCTAAGTCTCCAGGAGGAAAAATGTTTTTAATGAAAGGAGTAATGCCCTTATTTTACTCACATCCTGAAGCTGTTCCTTAACTGGAAACTATGTCACATTCTAAACCTTCTACATCTGAAACTAAGTGAGTATTTGAACAAAAACTATAAATAATAAAAATGTTTTTTTGTCTTTGTTTAATTATAATTTGAATATTCTAAGTATTAGTACGGGAACCAATAAATTTTGTAATTTTTTAATTACCTATTCATGTTTTTCTTAATCTCTTAATCTCTTAAGGATAAGACACGCTAAGATACTTCTGGGTGAACATAACCAGGAAACCATGGCAGGAAACATCGGAAGCCTGTGTGAGATCTGTATACCCATTTATAAATGGTAATGTTAGTACCCGTGACGCCATCTATGTTTCAGCTTAATATAAGTGTTTCTCCTTATATCACAGTCATCTGGGGGGCTATTTTCAAAGTATGGGAGCACTCATTTCTCTCAAGATTCTCATCAAAAATGTCATACGTCAATGTGGAAATGTTGTTTTTAAAGGCATCGAGGATTAAAATTCTTAGGAAGATTTTAATTATCTCTAAATAAACCGAGAGAAACAGTCAGTGAGTTCACACTGGCCTTAAGAGCCCTAAAAATACGATTTTACGTTGACGTATGACATTTCTCTTGAGAGTAATGAATTCTCTCGAGTTTGAAAATAGCCCCCCTGTAGTCTGTGACCCCGTAGGATTATAGATCGTGCGTAGATGCCGCCACGAGTACTAAATAAGAGTCAGATGCGCATTGTCTCGTATTACAAGTTCGTATTTCATCTTGAGTTTTGTCTTGTATTGTAACCATTACTGAATTACTGTGTTTATCAGAATACTAGAGAATAAAAGCTTACAACAAGGTGTTGTTTTATTGAGTAGTGTATAAATAAGGCATACATCACAGCCTGCATCTGCCTGAGCAAGAACAGGCTTCGTATTGTAACAGGGATCCTTACCGGGCATTATCGACTTAAAGGACACCTTAGTAAACCGAGAGTAGTAGAGGATAGTGAGTGCAGATTCTGTGAGGAGGAGGACGAAACCTCCATTCACATTCTAACTGAATGTGTAGTACTCCAGAATCCAAGGGCACTATACCTAGTAGGAGGATATCAAATAGAAAAGAGAGATAGATTTACCTAACACGAAGCCACTCCAAATCCTACACTTCCTTGGGAAGATAGGATTGGAAGGGTCGTTATAGGCATTGAGACATTTCCTTGGTGCATTAGCGACAGAAGGGGCACAATAAATCTTTTAGGTCGCAGTGTATTAACACCCCATTCCCAACAACATCTCAAGTGAATGTATATTATATTTACTTATCACGTCTCATAATTAATTTAATTTGTAAATTGTGTGGTAGGAAAATTGTTGGGTTTCATTTATCTGTAGTTAATGAATATTAGTTTTAGTTATCTAGGTACCTGTCACATAATTATTTGATTTATAAATTATGTGAAAGGAAAATTGTTGGCAACTAAATTATTATTATTATAATCACCCCATTATCCATTATTAATTGTTATTAAACCAAATGAGTAAAATAACACAACGTCTCTAAAAAATTGCTTAACGTTGTTATATTTCTAACTGACAAGAATTCATCGAAATTAAGTTTTATTATTCAAAATATTGTGTATTAGAAAACCTTGGCAATATTTTAAAACGGTAATTATGAACTTATCATTTATTACATAAGTATCGCTTTATTCTAAACTGTTATTATAACATTTGTCTTTGTTTTGTTTTCCAGATCTAACCCAACTATTTAATAAAATGAATTACAATTGTTTTTTTAACCCTACTTTCCCAATTATTAAAAACCATAAATATTTTGTGCACAAAATTTAATTAATTTAAAAGGGATTAACAATAAACAGATACTTTATTCTATTTTTTATTACATATATAAGCGGTACTCATAACAAATCAATAAAAATAATTTACAAAAGAATCGATATTATTAAAAAATATTAGTACAAAAATTTAGAATTTATAAAACCTATCATTGCAACGTTTATTCAAATTATTTGTGTATAAAAATAATGTATGTTTTTAATTTAAAAAATATATGTACCTATTGGTCGACTGAAAAACAATTTTTGACGGTTTTCTATAAACATCTCATATTAGAAACATTGATCCATTGAAATATCTCAAAACTATAATATAAATCAAAAGCATTTCTATTGACATTTATTTGATACGCTACTGGATAATAAAACTAACAAACCCCGCTCTTCCCCTCCTAACAACTGGCTTGTATATGTTGCTTTCAAACAAACGCAATGTAAATTTTTGACATTCAGTTATCTATTATTATTTATTTATCTGAGATATTTGTAGATAGTTTGATGTTTTTTGTTTTATTACTCAAGGTTACATTGACTTTGACTGTCAACGGCTTTTTTCATGAAACCAAGTCACAAAATAAAAAATCCTAACGGTATTGTCTACTCGAAAATTGGAACATACAATGGCCTTAAAGATTACAAAATTATTCAAACAAACTGGCAAACAATAGATCTCTTTCCCAAAATCAGACAAATTGAACCGAAAACATACAAAATAGAGCAACTCAAACGTCAGAAGAAAGAACATTCTGTTTTAATAAAAAAGATGAAACAGTTACCTTGATTAACCCTTCTCCTGACCTTGATCCCAAGTTTAAATTTCTCCATGAATGATACCAATTTTGCACCGTTCTGTAAGTAGGATTTTTACTTCCACTGGCTAAAATCAATACCTTATGCTCATCAAATTCATAAACTTGCTTTGCTTCTGTTATCATCATACTCAAGATCATACTATCATTCAAATATTCATAAACAAATCATTTACATATGGTTTGGCTTGAAGAAATCGAAGTGTCTCAGCTGTTTCAAGAGTATGATTATGTTTAGTATGTATCGTAATTATAAATTGCAATCCTTTCTGAAATAATACCAAATTACAAAATTTCAAACTGAGAAATAATTAATTACATGTACCAAAAATAAGACGAGTATATAAAATTTGATTTTAATATTAAACATTAGGTATATTTAAAGTTCTATCCTATTATTTACCTTAATAAATGGATCTTTTAATCTTGTTGGTTTAGAAGTCCTAAAATCCACTGAATATTTATTTCTTTGTTTGTTAGTGTCATCCATAGTTTTAAGGTTACTTCGAATGTATCATTTTTGAAAATCACGTTCTCAAATTCAGTTAGCAGACATCTCAAAAGGTTCAAAATATGAAAATCACAGTAAAACCGTCACTCGCTTAACCTTAAAACAATCAAATGCGTACCGATTCGATTAACCAGAAAAAATTATATTATTGACTTGCGCGATTATTTTTAAATTACATACACATTACATATGTTAAAAATTGTTAAAAATAAATATCAGAAGAAGGATACAAACATTTTTAAATAATTTGACATTTAACAACAACACAGTTCAGTTGACAACTTGATACTTGACATTGACAGGCACAGCCATGCGAAATAAAATAACCGGTTAATTATTCTATGCGGTTGCGACTATGTTGCGACAGAGCCAGTATCACTGTGGCTAGGAGCGAAATAGTAGTAAGCTTAAGTTAGCAACACCATAAAAAAATCATTTTTAAGAAACTGCTTGTATATTTTTTATAAATTGGCAGGCTTGACGACTACTATTTCGAATAAAAATAGCCCATGATTGCAACTATGAAAGTCTCACCTTTACAATCAACAGTTGTTTAACAGGTCGCTGGAATTTTAGGAATTTTAAGAATCTTAGGAATTTAGACGTGGAATGCCCGGAATGTATAAATTAGTCGCATAAGGATTACACAGGCGGATTTAAGAACATTGATATTATAGTAGTTAGGATGATCCAAAAATTCTAAATCAATAGGGTTCTAAGTTAGAAGCAATTATTTAAGAAAATAAAAACCGCAAGTCAATCAGAACTTTCGTTCTCGAGTTATCGTGCCGACATACATACAGACGACCAGACGAACATTTTTTTTGCATTTTCGGATTCAGAATGATCGAAAACGTGAAAAAAGTTAAAAAAAATGGGGTAAGCAAATTTTTTCGTCTGCACGAATGCAATACTGAGGCCCCATAGGAAGGGGCCTCAGTAATTTAATCTACGAAGTGCCTTATAACATTTTATATTCCGGGATCTTATTTATGTTATTTTGCAAAGTACGCCTGTCGAATGTGGAAGAATTTTTTCGAAGAGTATGACAATTATTACGATTTCTATTGTCGGTTTTTTAAATTAATATATTTTTTCTTTGAGCATTTTAACAGATCTACGTTCGTTTAGGCCATAGTTTGCATTAAAATCATTTTTTATTTCAATCCATTTTTCACCGTTTTTCACCATTTTTTTTCCAAGCACCATCATTAGATAGTTGGTTTTGATTTAATTATTATAATTTTATATATAGCAACTAATGAAATCAATAAATATTCCTCATCTTTTGAATATTTTGAAGATCTTTTGATTGTGTGTCCATGGTTAAATTTATACGGTATATCTATCTCTTTATTATAAATCTTTTTTTTTACACAAACACATCCATCAGACAACTAGTGACATTAACCATCACCAAAAACATTGACATCATATTATCTTAGAGTTATAGGTCTATCTAAATAATACCGAAAAATTTAAGGGGTAATTTTCTGATGAAAATTTGATATAATTTTTTTTTGAAAAAATAAACGATCGCTGGAAAAGTTACACCCCTCCGAAGAAAATAAAATAGTTTTACTTTTTTATTTTCCCTATATATTAAGCTTATGGTATTTTCTACCACAAGCGATACGCGTAAAAGTAATTGTTTTCGATATTTTACAATAGATTACACAAAATACAAATATATTATATAATATAAAATATTTTATGGACTACTAAAATATATGAGAACTATAGCTCATAAGAATAAAAGCTAAGCAAACTAATATCATTCGAAAAAAGAACGGAGGTAAATGTTTACCTATACAGACAACCAAATAAGCAAATAAGGCTTGCTTAGGGGTCCACAGAAACTTCCCATTCAAATGTATATCAAGCATTATTCGACGCAAATCTAATTCTCGAAGATCCTCTTCCCTGTGCTCCCTACTACACCCATTCAATAGAGCAGAGACGAATAAATGTAAATCCCTTTGGAAATGTCGCACAAGGAACCCATCTTTTTGTCACATAAGTACACGACAATAGATGTAAACATGTCGTTTTCGTTTAAAGTTCGTCTCTCGCAAAGAAATGCAATCGCTAAATTAAACAATCATAAACAGAAACGCGTAATCTGGGGCCTGCTAATTCTGCTGGAAGTGATATGGGGATCAGACCCGGCCAGTGGCAGAGATCGCAGAGTTCTTGTAGGAAATTAAAAAGCATTGCAAACAATAATTCTTCTTGAGCCACGTTTACTTTCAAACTATTATATAGGTCTAGGAAAAAAATTATTCAACCTCATTTTATACATAACAAGACTAAACAGGGCCTCCCAAAAATAACGAAAAAAACTAAAAAATTGGTCAACCGATAAATACTTACAACAACTAACTGATGATAGTGAAATGAACTAGTTTGGAAAGTAACCAAAACAATCAAAAGCCCATTGACCCAAAACCCAACAATTAGAACTGCAAGTCAAATCAAGAAAAAGTAGAAACATACTTAAATTAATTGGAACAAACTTCTCATCCAAACTAAAATAACAGCATATTGTAACAACCAGTTAGCCTAAAGACCAACGCTCGTCACCAAATGTAACAACCGGTTAATCCTAAAGGCCAACGCTCGTCACCAAATGTAACAACCAGTTTACCTAAAGACCATTTGCAACTACTGATAGGTCTTTAGCTACTGTTACTATACTATTAAGGGATAAAGGCAGCGCCTGTCACCAGCCAAAGGGTCCTGGAGTCCTTAAGGAACATCCATTCGCCAGTGGCAAAATAAAATAATAAAAGAAAATAATAAATATACAAAAAAAACATCCCTTAATAGCATATGTCGAGCGGTTCTTGGCAACTAGTTTTAGACTCTTTTAGTCCTAAGGGAATAGAAACGCCGAGGCTTCTCAAATGCTCGGAGTATTTTGCTGGTTTGGGAAAGGAGGAGAGATTAATAATAAGTATTAAAACATTAACAAATGTATATTAACAATAAATAAAAAACTTGACAAATAGTCTTCAGAAAAAATGAATAAAATTCCATTTAGAGAATAATGCACTATAACTAATAGTAATAAAGATAAGCATAAAATATAATTCGGGACGAAAATGTAAAATTGGCATTTATATGTAAATCAATTAATCAATTATTATTAAACAAAATTAAGTTAAAATATTTACCCATAATTCACATCGTACACAAAAAACTTTACACATTACTTTACAATAAAAAAACCAGAGTTTCGCCCGAGGGGCGAAAGTTCTGGACCTTAGTCCGAACCCGACTGAGCCTTTACCCCAAGTGGTCCTTTCTATATCAACCAAAATTTATGTGACTGTTGATTGTATTTAACAATGTCACGTTCAATGTAGATTAATAAATTGAAGGTTTGTTTCATTGTGTCTTTTTAATTATTTAATTTAAACATTAAATACTTGTTTAGAATTTTTGGTAAATTCTTTAGATTTTTCAATTAATAATAATGCCAATTATTACATTATTCCCCCGACAGAAAAAAAATTGGACTACTTGTTCAATTCTTTTTAAAACCCTTAATGTAAATAATTTACAAAAATTTTTAAAACACTCTACAATAATATGATAACCTCACGCTTGCTTCACTGCACAAGTTGCGTCTTCTTTGGTCTTCTTAATTGGCTGGCCGTAACTACCCTTTGCTCTCTGGCTGTCACCTCTCATCATCCCTGATCCTTGACCTTCCTGGAATGGTCCCTTCCCGATCTGGTTTGGTCCTTGGGCTGCTAAACCTGGTAACCCTTTTGGCTGAGGTTCCGGGTTCTTTCTGCTACGGTAGTCTATCAATTTTTCAATAGACTTTGGCTTTGGACTCTCTGGTTGACTATTTGCTCGGGACTGCTTCTCTCTTTTGTTACTCTGAGACTGGTAGTGTACATGGCTGCTGTACACGGCTGCTACTGGTGGTCCCTATTGACTCATTACTGGGAATGGCCTCTTTCATTGAACCTTAGTCCATTCCATATGAATTATTTGGTCCCTTTTTTCCGCATTTGACTCCATGTTCTTCCTGCTGTGGATTTGGCTCCCACAGACTCAAAATGGACCCAACATCATGTCAAGCTCCATTGGCGGTATAACTCATGCCCTCTGAGAGCTTGGTGGTACTGGTTGGCGGATTTGGATGGAACAGTCTCTTTGTAGCCTTGGATTCTGGAGTCCTGGAATTCGGCCAATTTTCTGCCGTGGATCGTGGAATCGTGGAACTCTGGGTTCCCTTGGTACGGTCCTGGATTTTGATAACTATCACGATTTGGACTTCGTGATCGTCCTGGAAACGGTGCTGATGGTGACTCTGGCAAAGGTAGTACGGTGTTGACCTCTTCTTCTTTCTTCTTTTCCTTCTTCTTTTTTCTTTTTCTTCTTCTTGTGCAGTGGCAACGTCTTTTGATTACCCCTATGACAAAATTATTATTTACATTTCAGGTTTTCCAACAAAAAAACAAATCTTTTATACAAATTTCCTTAATTACCCCAAAAGCACATTTACAGTTACGAA